GTACGTTTAGAAAAGAACTTCCAGAGATTTCGAAAGATACTACAAACTAGGGATGCATCAAGGCCTTCAATGATCTACATCAACCCCTAAGATTATACATTCTTAAGATTTTATATAAACTTCCATAAAAGGAAATGTAATCAACAGGTTTTCAGGTCTACAAGTACCTACAACAGCAAAAACAAGACCAGAGGCTAAGACAGAACAATAAACATTGGCTGATTTCCATAAGTCATAACAATTTTAACATGGACATTACTTCCATGGTTTCAAGGGCAAAGTGTATATAACCAGAGCAGAGCCTCAACATTCAAAGCTTTATCATAAAGATCACTTTGGTCATGTTGAAAGCAGGTTTAGCAATCTTACCTCCTCTAAATACAATCTAAAAATAAACTTTAAAATTTCAAATAAATCTTTTTTATCGGAAGTCTGTGCGTTTTATAGCAACTTGTGAATATGCAAGTGTGACTGTGAAAGTGATTTCACAATGGCATGTAATCTGTCACCCGAAAACTAATTAATATTTCCAGCCTCATCAGAACTCACACTGTCAAGAGATCTTTATGCAGTTATAAAGTTGTTTTCATCTCTAAGGTGAGGGTGAGCATCTCTGAGGTGTGCATGTAACCTGTCCTTTCTGGAGAAGGCCTTGCCACAGGAGCCACACACAAATGGTTTGTCTCCTGTGTGGACACGACAGTGGCGGCTCCATTTGGTCTTGTCGCGGAAGAGTTTTCCGCAAAACGGGCAGTGGTACACCGTCCCCCACCTAGCTCGACTCTTCCTCCCTCCGCGACCCTACAAAGAACCAAAGACACCCAGGTCAACATCCTGCTTCCTTCTTTTCAATTATGAACATTTACAATAAACATCTTGATATTTTATTGCCCAAACTAATTTGTAAATACACATTAGTTGGCCCAATTTCCAATTTGATAATGCAAAAGTGCCAAAAAACAAAAATACTAAAGCCATACTTTATTATGTTCACATACACCAAAATTCTCAACTGTGTATCTATTTAAGAAATACAAGTGTTTATTTGTTTCCTTTTCCTCTTTCTGAAATATTTATCATGTAAAACTTTTGTTTCTAAAGGAGCTCAAAGTTTCTTATTTTCAAAGATATAATATATATATCAAATTACTCTTTCTATGGCACAAAAGGAAAAATATCCATAAACTACAAAGTTTTTGCAATTAGCCTCGTTTGACGTTCCTTCACGAGTACCTTCACATAGGTAAATTTTCAGCACTGTTAACTCTATTAAATGTACAGATCACTGGAAACTCTGACTTATGTAAGCATATCATGTGTCGCTTCACATTAGTCTTCAGTGTTGCACTATAAGGGCAGTGAGGGCACCTATATGGCCTTTCACCAGTGTGTGTCATGAGGTGTCTCCTCAATTCTGAATTCGATCGGCACTTCTGGCCACACATACCACAGAACTTGGCCTCTAAAGTGTCACTTAAGGTCCCCAGTTGCCCCCCTACACTACAAGGTGACCCCAGTTTCACCTGTACACCGGGAAAAGACGTGACATGGCCCAGGGCATAACGGGAGTCGGCCACATGCAGTGGGTCACCCTCACCCTGCAACGAGGAATATAATCTCAATCTTAAACCTAAGGAGCTCCATATCTTAATGCAACGAGTTTACTTCTCACTCAGTTATTATCTCCCCATGTTCTTAGATAAACAACAAACTTACCCCAAGTACCGTTATCAAAACCAAAATAATATAGGTACAGGAACAATTATATTAAAACGAGTCGTCGTCACACTAGATAAACCTCGATAAAGGAAAAAATCAATAAAAATAAACGCATAAAGTACAACACCCCTTTCCACATCATCTAATAGATGCTAACATTATCATAAAGTAACCCATATCTATTCATTAATAAGGGAACGCATTTTCCAGATTAAATTTCATCATACATTTAGTATAGCCTTGCTTTATACAGAATATATAAAGTATACACATACATACACTCTGTATAAACAGGGTATACTGATGTACAGTACACAGTTCCTCAAGTGATTTTACGTTCCATAATTTATATACAGTACATTACTGTGTTTATAAAAGAACCAATGTTATTGTACTGTCTATGCAACTATAGACACGATACTAATTCACACTGGGTCACTTGAAATTTCCTTTTAAGTGGATGGATTGCCATTATCAAATTTCAAAGCACATTAGAACTTGACCCATATTCTTCTGTGCTTTGAAATTTTTTCACAAATGTAATTTTTTTTTTCAAAGAAATGAGGTTAAAATATTCATGCAACAGTATTTCTGAAGTTAGTTATACAGTATTATCAAGTGGCACCATCCCTCATATGTGGATTTTTGTCTACATATAGATGAAATTTTTCATCGGTCATAGATATGCACATGGAAAATAAAGAGAGCTAGAGGAGTCCAAGGCACATCATAGTGGCTTGTTAGCGCTCCGGCAGGGAGAGTGGAGCATTAACCTCATATTTTCAAATCAGGTATTTATTTGTTGAGTTCTATCACATGCCTTGGAAGTAGGTTAGGACAAACACAAATGCTCCAGCCACTGCATTTCTCTTTATGCAAAGGTCTCAATTACTTGAGTGAAATTTGTTTCCAGTCAAATTAAAAATTTACAATACTGCACGTACTGTAATCCAGTTCAGTTCCGTGCCAATTAAAAGAATAATTTCCCTCCAGAGCTCTTGCATGAAATACAGTGGCTGTAGCCAGGCAGGCATACAGGAATATGTAAATGACTACAAATTTAAACCACCAATTCATTAACAAAAATAGACATTTACTCATGAAAAATTCAACAGTTTAATGCCTGCATTAAAAATTACCATACGATGTAGTCATTAACATTACCCTTGTTAAATCAAATTTTACAAAGAAAACAGACCTCAGATTTTGACACCTGCATAGAAATAAAATTAACATAGCAAAGTTTTTTTTTCAATCCTCTGTTTATTTAACTTGCAAAAGTGAAAATTGTGTGTTCACAAAGTCTGAGATCTGTTTCCTTGCATCACATATTACAGAACCTTATAGCAGCTGCATCACAAAAATTAAGAAAATGAGACTGAAATGTATACACTATATACCTCTTATGGTTGTATGTACTGTACTACTCACGGGAGATGAGAGAAAATAAGGAAGACGAGAGAGAGAACAAAGAACAGACTAAGAAGGGAGAGAAGAATAATGAATTGGAAGAAATTAAGAATGCTGAATATAAGCAGAATATGATGAAAAAACAGAAAAAGACAAAAAAAGGAGGGGGGAGGAAGAATGAAGAAAGGAGGAAAATAGGAGAAGGAAAGAAAGAGAGGACAATACTTTTTAACAATGTCTATTTTCTAGAAATCCAAAAGTACTGTACTACTGAAATAAAAAATTCCCAGTAGTGGCTATGATTTACTGTACTTAAATACAACTCTTGTGATTCCAACAATGAAGTTAAAAGATGTACTTTACCAACAGTCATCAGTTACCTTAACCTTTATACAACAGGACACTTTAGTATAAAAATGGAAAAAAAGTATGGCAGGTAAGACTCGACTTCCTCCCCTACAACTTCAAAATCCAAGTCTCCAATGTTTTGGGCCCACAAGATATCTTAAAGGCATATTCAAATTAACATGTAAAATTATTCCAATTCAAAACTGAAACTTATTTATCATCTCCCATCAAAAAATGCTACATCTTAACTCTCAAATGACTCTTGGATATTTACTGCAAAGTACTGTATCCATTGTCTCCTTACAACCATGAAGTACAGTATGAAATAATGACTGGCTACTGAGTCAGTCTTGATCCAGAAGTCAGATAGCCTGGACTGTAGTTGTGATGCAATACTGTACAGTACTGACATCAACTCATGTCATACTTTAATCTTGCAATACAAAGCTCCCCAGTGCCTTTGTCAGCCAATATATATATATGCATACAATTGTTTATTGTAAGTAGCAATATCAATCATGCCTGTACAAGTTATTTTGTATTAAGGAAAAGGTAACTTGGTTAGCTAATGTGACTTATGAACTAATAACTGCAACTGCTGTAAGGTTGAATCAAGAACAATACCCTTTGGTATGGGATCATGGCCTACCATCCACATGAAGGAGCTTTTCCTGTATTATATGCTCACACTATGAACATTTATAACACTCAATAACATTACGTGAGGACTGAATAATACCGTACGTAGTTTAATATTCTTCACAGGTCAAATACTGGTAAAATGTTACTATTATCAAGCACCAGCCCACTTGGTGTACGTAATAAATTTGAATTTAACACGAACAAAGTTACATGAATGAGAACTATAATTTGTACGATTAAGCGACACTAAATTTTTTTACGTCACTGCCATGTTACACAGTTTGATGACCATAGTAAACCAGGATCATTCTTTATCATGTATTTTCAAGTGACAAACCAATCAAATTATTGGGGCAGTAACATAAGTCAATGATTACTAAACTTAACATGAATACAGTAGTATCTCCCCATCAAATGAATCTGTTCTCTCTTCATTTACACAAATTATTATCTAATTCGGTACACAATGTGTGTGTATCAAAAGCCCCAAATGATAGGCTAGCTTCTTAGCATTAATATTTCAAGCAATTTTTTTTAACATGACTTGATTTCTTTAGTGAGAATGTTCAGTTTCTATAGTGCCATTTTTTTTGTAGTTCTCTCTGGTGTGTCTACGAAGCACAACTAGAAAAATGGAAACCCAAGTGGAGTCAGAGTTAATCATCTTTAAACTTTAATTTAATCATAAAAAGGCACTGTGATTCTTTATAAATAACAATAAAAAATTAATATCATTACTTAGGGCAACTCCCGAAAAATTTAGTTTTTTCTTTTACGAATATGAATTTAATCTTCGCGTATCACCTATCTATGAAAGCTCAAGGACACAACGTGGCAACATGATCCCACCCCAAAAGGTTAAAAACAACCATAACACTCACCGCTTGTTGAGCTGCTGGATCATCTCCACCAAAGAGGTTGTGGGGGAAACCAGCTTCCCCCTCATCTCCCCAGCTTAATACTGGAGGAGCCTGCAAATCATAAACACACACATCACACTATCTGTTCCAATAATACTGTACCTTGCATCATAAATGTCAAATTAACTCCATTATGAAGCTTTCTTGAGGGCAGGGGTGGTGGTGCCTATATTTATACTGTATTTACAATTGATAAATGATTGGTATACCCTAACAGGCTAGTGAGGATACACTACAGCAGGAAAATAAGCTAAGGAACTGGATACAAACACTACCTATGTTCTTTTTTATAAAGATTAATAAAGTAAAAAAAAAAAAAAATGATTACTATTGAAGCTCTTCCCGCCTTTGGTTCCGTAGTAACGTAACTGTTGTAAAGGGTACCAGAAATAAGCAGTTTATAGGATATATATTTTTTACCACTTGTTTGAGACAATCACCCCACCAAAACAGAAAGGTTTACATCAAAAGGTGGAAGAAGCACAGGTATAGGGATTAAAAGATCTAAAGACTGTGTTTCTTTTTCTATAACTAATCATAATAGTCGCTTATTAAAACAATTATGAACAACTTTCTGCACTTGTTCTTAATGGAATTGTCAAAAGAATGTTAAGGAATATGGAAAGGGTGGGGGGAAGGGATTTTTTTTATTTATTCATTTTTTAATCCATTGCTATCTACAGTACGTATTTCTGTTATCACATTCACATACACACAGCAGCCCCGGAGAACAAAATGGACCCAATACCCCAATGACTGAGAACAATGATTAAAAAATTTCTCCAAGATGATCCTGAGCGTCATCCACATACAGTACAATACAGTATTCACAAATTTAGAAACACTCCAGCAAGGGAAAATAAGTCTAAAACAGAATGAGAAAATATTGGTTTCTGAATTCATTCTAGAAGTTCAAGTACAGTATATGTTAATGTCAGACTTGAGATTAGAATCAAAATCTCTCTTGTCCACAAGCCAATGACAGATGCCATTTCCGGACCCTGTGCCAGGTCTATACAATAGACAACAAACCGAGAAATCAAGACAAACCATAAGTCTGGGAAAAAAGACTTAACCAAGCTATCAATCTGTTAATTTTTTCTATGATTCTCCAGAAGGATCCAGTACAGTACTAACTACCTCCCCTTACAGTAAATACATCTTTAGGCTAACACAGTGCCAATTCAATTAGTTCAGTGTCTTCAGACTCTGCCAGTCAACACTACACTGACAAACAAAGGAGGACCTTCAGGATAAGGCTCTGTAACCTTCACAGACACTGTTGTCAATGATATTTAGGCACTACCTACCAAAGTCTTGGGTGAATACTCACCGGGTGGGAGCAATACAGTACAATTGTGATCTATCACAAAGATTTACTTACCCAGGTCACAAGCACCTCGGTACCTTTTGTCTTATACAGAAAGTTGTCTCAAGTTCATCGTCTTTCCCTTTCTTTTTAAATAATAAAGATCATATCATAATCAGCGAGACTCTTGAGACCAGTCAGAAGGTTAGTTAATACAAGTACTGTATTAACTAAATTGAAATTTTTCTATTTAAAAAAAAATTTCATTCAAGCAGGAACAAAAGTTAAAAGAAGACATTAAACCCAAATAGGTTTCCAGCACGAATCCATTCCTTTATAAGGCTATTAAAAGCTTACAAATGTACTGCAGTACACTAATTATGACAGTATTTCTGGGTTAAACAGCCTTTATCAATACAGTAATCTAACAATACCATTAATATTATTAATACCAAGAGGTAATGTTTTGAACTCCTAATCATGTTAATGTGGAAAAGCAAAAACAAATGTATACTGTAAATACCACTATACGTGTGTGTGTGCAAATGCTTATATAAAAGACATGTGAAGGAACATCATTCTAACAAGGAAACATTAGTCACCAAGTCCTGGTGTTGCCACAAATTAAAAACCTTTTAAGATATCCTTTCAAACTCTTCATTAGATACCAGTCATTACCCAATTACTGTACACTAATTACTGGTACAGCCATTGCTTAAATTTGATATTCAAATAATAAAATTGAGGGTATCCTTTGTAACTCCACAGGCACCTACTGTAGGTCTCACAAAACACAGTACAGGGTATACTGTATTTGCATTCAGTGGGTAGAAAACACGTCTGAACAGTCTACGTGTGTACCGAGCCAATACGATAATGCCAGTAACACTCTTAGATCACACCCTAAACCTGAACTCAAGAAAAAAACTACAAATGTACAAATTTCCCTTTCCACATAACTAAAGGAAACAAAAATTAAATCACAAGCATTCACGGAAGAGGACAAATTGTACAATAATCTCTCTCTTGTACACCTGGGAAACACCATGTAGTCCTGCTCACTCAAAACATGAAGGCAAACATTTCATCGCTTCAACCTTTAATATGTTGCAGTCTATTACCATTTCCCCGACTTTACCGTGTCACTATCTCACGTCATCACTCCATCTCTTCCTGACAGTCCTGTTCTTCTCTCTAACCATCACATCAATATTATCTCTTCAAATACCTATCTTTCATCACCAAAAACTGACTAGAATTTCATTATTGCACTGTCAACACATTTGACCAAGAAGGATTGGTTTAAAGACAGGCTAAAAACATTTAGAGGTGGGCCATATTAATCTCTGGCAGACCGGCTGTGATATAACTATTCATTACCTAATAACTTTTCAATTCCTCACAAAAATGAATAATGTAGTATTGTCTCTCAACTTTCATGTACTTTTGGAAAATTTTCCGACACGTTTTCCCCACCTACCAAGACTAACAAATCAGCTCCAGTTCTCCTTGTAATATGTGCAATTCTCTCTAAATCCCCAACCTTAACACAACTTGCTATATATCAGAATCCATTTACTGCCTCGGTAGCTCCCCTCTATCCAAAAGATTACTCATTCCATTGCAACACTAGAACATATTTCATCCAACTTTCTCCACCCAAATATACCCCAAAAATTCCTTAACTGTCTCCTTATATGAATTGGTATTGATTACAAAGCAAATAAAGGTTGTTCTGTGACAACCTATTTTGCCATCATGAATAGACCAAATCTTTTAGTCCACAAACTCTCCAATTCATAAAACAGAACCTAAATAGCATTACAGAACCAAGACATAATAATAAACTCACTCATCACCATTACTAGCAGTACTTCAGGAGAACAGAGCAACAGTATTTTATACATATCTATCTGTTCACTTATTGCAACAAACCCTTTCCTTTTCTAAAGCTTTCTCCTAGATTGTAAAAGGCCTTAAATTTGATCATAGTTTCCCCTTCCCTCCCAATATCTTCTTGTTCTGAGAAATTAATTTTGCTACCATATCACACCAATCAAAATACTATGATTTACCCACCTAAGCATTTTCCACCATCCCCTCCCCCTTTTGGGGATTAGATTATGCCGATTAATTTTGGGAGTAAAATAAAGTGGGGTGGTTAATCTTCAGGTGACCCCTTTACTCTCCCATCCATAAGTTCCAGTGTGAGTTTTATATAAGAAAATTACAAAGTTCAAGTGTTGTTGAAATTATGTACAACTAACACCCCCCTCTCTAGAGAAGTTCACAAACCTGCCACCAATGGACACTTCTTAAAATATAGTTTACCAGTTAATTCCTTAATGCCAATGCTAAGAGGCAAAGTGTGATGCCAATTTTTTTTGTCTTTCTCCAGATATAATGATCCTCCCCATATAATATAAAGGTCAACACACTTACAGCTCCACAGGCTAAATGGCCTCCAGAGGTGGTGTACAGTATGGTTGGTGTTTCTCATATACAATACTTTACTAACTACCTTCCATCACTTATGAAAAAGTTTATAGATTCAGTTAAATAAAGTTATTTTGCCAAAATGCCCTTGGACAACTATGAAACCCCTATGATGCAAACACATTCATTACATGGTAGCTACAGTACCCATTGAGACCACTTCCCACTAAAACCTATATAAAATGCCCTTATATAATCAATATAAATAAGCAATTCATTATAAACATTCATATATTCACCATGCTGAGTCAATAAAGTACTCCACACCCACTACATTGAATGCAACTGGACAATCACCACTAAGTGCCAAAATAATGGCAACCTGGAGGGTAATATAGGCGAAGCTGCCACTGTAATAAGGTGCTCTGTAAATCCTTGAGATCATCTACAGGGCTCTCACCCACAAAAAATTGATATAACTGGTTGCTGAAACCAAAACAAGACCTCAAATAACAACTACTACTATAAGGTGATTGAGAAGGATGGTGTATTAGACTTTCATGCACTCTCACAGTTTAAAACTTGGGATACGAATTACAGTATGCAAATTTTGTCACTATCCATTCTTCCCAATTTAAGATACATATAAACCCATTCAACAGATATCTTTAATAGCAACTTGACCATATGATCACAACCCTCTATAACTGTATGTAGTAGTTGTTGTCTAAGTCTGGTCAATAACCGATCTTCCCATCTCCAGACCCTCAATGTGGACATTTTTAGTACCACTAACCTATTGACTTTGACCCACTTCTTCCAAAAGGTAATCAAGAGAAGAACTTTTTATGTTGCATCACTGGTGTAAAATGTGAGTACTGTACAGTATTGATAAATTAAATCTCGGGATACGTTGCACAGACTCCCCATACCCAAGGGTTTAACCCAAGAAGTGCAGCACACATCTATAGAACGGATGCATATAAAAATTTGCATTTGAGCGGAGTGCAGTGACTAATATTCTATAGGCCTTCCGAGAACTTCTACCCTCCCTCTCAATGACTCGGTGATCATATGGAAGATGGACATAAGTCATGCTCGAAGAATGGGGAGGACCAACCCTCCACCTCCAGTGTTACTAGTATTGGTAAGAGGAACCTTTGTACAGTATAAAGAAAACTCCAGAAATGTGCAAACTTGAGCTAAAATCTAGTAGTAGTACTGAGGAATGTGAAATAAGAAGTCCAGAGTGTTAGAGGCAGTGCAAATGGGAAGAGGAAGAAGACTAAAGTTAGCTGCTCCCCCTCCTGCCCCTCCCCAGAAAAAGAAAAAGCTGAAGCCTCTAACCCCTTCTAAATTTGTATCCATGGTCATGGAAACTGATTCAAAGCTGTCATCTGTCAGAAAACTTCATGGCATACAGAGAGTGGAGGTGTGTCAGTGATGAAGTTTCCATGACCTATCAAGTGACAGGGAGGAGTAAGAACAGCCCATGATCCAACGCTCACATCCTTTGTGTCTTGATAGTTATATGAAAATATGCTAACTATTAAAATACTAGAAAAAACATTGTCCACACTTCCTCTCTTCCCCTAAAAGTAACTCCTCCGTCACCTCTCTCTTCCTGCTCTCAATGTCCTCCACCGCACGCCTCATCAGTGAATTCCTCACATTCAGGGCTTTACCTTGACCAAACCAATATAAGTATATGATTCATATGTGGTTGTAGATGTAAAAAATCACAATTTCATTCTACAGGGTTAATTTTATCATATACTTGGTTTTTGCTGCACACGGGTGGGCCAAGAAACCCGGTCCCGCAGTTTGCTGGTTAATGATATGTTGCCCCAAGAATGGCCACAAAAGGTAGCACAACATGGCAAACCACAAGAACACAAAAAAGGTATGTGGTTTTGATATAGTGAATATGCAGAGAAAACTAGTAGACCAGAAACAATTGGCTACAGTATACAGTACATCTTTTTTGGTTTTCTGTTCTGAACAACAAAACAACCATAAACAATATCACACCATATGTTTTACTTATTAAATTATACAATCAGTTAAGGCAGTTTAGATATATCCAAGAAAAATAGACATCTTTTGAAATGATCCTTGCCAGGTTTGGTAAATCAATCAGGTAAGATGCTGACAAGAAAATATTACCCAGGCATGTATTAGATGAAGGTGATGGTTGATGCCACTGTTAAAACTCATAGTTAACTGTTAAACAGCCTCCAGGAAGCACTCCAAAAACAATAAAGCCCACAAGACAACCAGACCCATAGATTTCAATTTCAGAGTACAGTAAAGTACTGTAATCCTAAATATAGTCCACTTCCTACTACGTCTAATGACAATACATTTTAAACATAAAATTACTACTGTATTTAGGGGGTCCCATAATATGACCTTTTTATTGATATGTTACAACAGTTATAGCAAAAGTTCTTATGAATTTTGACACGGTGTTATTGGGAAACACCACCCAATAACACACAATGAATATGTTTAAAATCCCTAGTTGATCACCATGTATAGAACCTCATAAGTCTTACCAACCGATACTTAGCACAACTACGTTTCATCAACTTAAGCAACAGTTTTCCCAGATGAATCAAACAACTGTCCAGATTTATTGTCACATTAATTCCCTAACAGTATAAGGAATGAAATTATTAGAAAGAATGAGGAATCACCCGTCAAACCTAAGGTGCAAACTTCCCCATTATTATATTACTGTCACCCATTATTATATTACTATTACCATATTATTATAATTTTTTCACAATCCTGTACTAGTGAGCTTAAGTTATATTATGTGACTTATAATTTTGTTTACTATCCCCTTTCTGTGCACTTAACCCTCTGGTACTCCTGGTCGGAAATTTCACCCCCCCTCCCCCCCGCAGACCTTTGACGCAGGTTGCGATGGCAACAGGAACAGTTTTTCCACATTAAAAAACATTGAGTAGAGTGATCAAGACGAAAAGTGCACACTTAGAGAGGCGTCTGCCAGCCCACGAGGCTAGTGGGAAGAATTTAGGTGGTTGATAGAGCCAGTCCACTGTGCCCTTGCTTCTGCCTATGGGAGGTGTGCTCTCAGTGTGAGGTGTGGCTGAGCAGGAGGGATTGTGCCAACACGGCAGTGCTGTGTGACGTAATATGAACCGAAAGACCACAAGAGGGTTAAAACAACACCAAGAACTTAATAAAATAAAACTCCTCAGTTAGCCAAATCAATTCCTAAAACCCAGTACAGAATACACCAACTGTACCTACAATTGCAACTAACAACTCCACCTCCCACCAATTCACAAAATGTTGAATATCGAATTCACTACTGTGTTGGTGTCAAGGAAGTTTATCCCACGTAAAGTCGTGTAGGTCAAGGATACACTATGGAACATACATCCTGCAGATATACGAGATCAGCGTCACCTTAAAATGTGGTCTAAGTGGAGAGCTAGATCAAAGTACTGTACATCTACAGTATGAGAAGTACCTTAGTACAAAACAAGAACATCACTATTAGCCATGAAGAACAATCCAATTAAAGTGCAAATTTATATTTTATTTACATTATTTGTAAGTGGGATCACAACATAATTCAACAACACAATAGGTGTCTTCAAGACCTAAGTACAGCACTCTAAAACAATGCAAGAGCAGAGGCAAATGCATGCTTTCTTGGTATTGATGCTAAATTACCGAATCTTCAGAGGTTTCTCAGAATGAAGTAGTAAGGAAAGTTAAGACTGAGTGAGAGCAATACCTAGAAATCCCTTAGTTTCATTACCATTAATGGGGGCTTATAATATATCTACCCCAACAGATCTAAGATTTAAAAATGTTGCTTTGATATGAGCTGTATACATTTAAATTCTGTACAGAAATCAATTGACACATCATTTAAATGGAGTTCTGAAACAATGACTGGGAAAAAGAAAGAAAACCCAGATTGGTTGGACAAAAAGGTACAGTAATCCCAAATAAAACAGCCATCAAACATACTGCACAGTACAGTACTTCATACATGTGCACAAATCCCAAAACAATGCAGCGCTCTTCACGGTGGTAGAAACGCTGGCAAATATTACCAATCAGTTGGTGCTGATCCATTGTCAATCCAACTACGAAACAACCAAAAATATATAGAATGTACTCGTACTTCAGACAGAATGGTTACATTTATGGGCCAGGAGTTAAGTTACCAAGAAATAACATAGGGATGTAGGAAAATAGGAAATGTAGGAAAATAGGAAATGAGCATATAGCTCATAGAGTATCACAATTCAATAAGTACAAGGCAGAAAACTAATATGTACTACAATAACCACCACAAGAGAGAAATTAAAAGAGTAACTAAGAAAATACAAAGTAAAATTCCACACTTACCCCTTGTAGGCCTGAAGGCCCAGGTATTTGTTCAGCACCATAAGAGTCCATCTGGTCATGTTCCTCCTTTTCTATTTCACCACCATGACTTTGGTATTCAGAGAAATCATTACTAGTCTCCTCTTCATCCCCATCCATCTCACTCCCATCTTCTCTATCCCCATGAGAATCTTTTGCTCCCGGATTATCTGCATCATCTACTTCAACTTTAATCATTTGAACTGGAAGGAGGGATGGGTCAGATGATCTGGGCGACGCCGTAGGTGGGTGAGAGGAATCGTGTCCACCACTGGGAGGAGACCGAAGGGACGAAGGATCCGGAGACGGTCGTAAAGATGATATTTGAGATGGGTGTGGTTGTTGTGGTGACTGTTGTGAGTGAGTGTCTTGTCTACCACGCCCACTCTCTATATGTCGCGCTTCCTGGGCTATACTAGGTGGTGGGGGCATAGATTGTGATGGCACATGTGACTCAGGTACACTTGACAGTTGAGAGGGTGCTTGACTAGGCACTGATGATGTGGAAGGGGGGTGGGAAGACTGGGAGGACCCCCTTGGGATGGGGGGAGAAGGGGCCCTTCCACGGTCTCCTCCAGATTCCCGTCTTTTTCGTTTCGCGGGAGGACTATCCTCCCTTCTCTCAGGTACAATACTGGGCCCTTTTTTCTGGGCTTTAGTAGGATCCTCATCTGGGACAGCGAGGCCTTTAATTCTTAAACACTCGGCAGCTTTGATGAGTCCAGCTAGCTCACTCTGCCTCACGTCCACTTCACCTATGTACATATAGTCTAACAAGGCCTCTAAATCTGACTTTTTTATGTCTTTGAGCACAACTACTGGATTTTTACATGGAGTCTTTTCAAATATTTCAGCAAAGTAATCACTACATGTTGACATCACAAGTTTGTGCACTGGGAAAAACTTTCCTTCACAAGCTAAGGTTGCATCAGTGTACGTATGCTGAAAAAAAGAAAGATTCATTATTAGTTTAGCAGTCAACAACCAACAGCCATTACAATATTATATAATCCTATATAAATTATCTCACCAGTACTGCATGCCTCAATTCCCAAAACGTGAAATAACTACTGTATGTCATTATACATAAATGTTCCAGTAATGACATACACAAAGTCAATTTCCCTCAATGTTATACAGGGGTGGGAGGGAAACATGCACCAAACCTGTATCGTACCATTACATATCATACCCATTTTCCAACTTGTATATCTACTAGCCCTCCAAATACATTTCAGAATGGTATCAATATCCAACTGACAAATATTAGTTCAGTACTCGTTCCAAATAAGGGAAACCCAAAGCAAGAACATCAAGTAAACTTATGGATGCTCCACAACACAGCCAAGCCCACCTTAAGACCTCTGATCTCAAAACATGACCGACCTTTGTGATAGGGATTTTTTTTTACAACGTAACTGTAAAGCTAACATGTCATAAGGGTTGAAACTTCAAACCCAGACTTCACCAATTTACTGAGGTCACAAATACTGTACTGCACTACCCACCTGACAAGAACATAGCCTAAAAAAAAAACAGTTTACAGTTTTGCTGATGACCATTGAAGTTTCATTCACTCATTTACTGAAATTAACAATAAAGGTAATCTATCAAATTCAGTTACTAGTGCATTTCATACATATATGCATCTAACAAGATTCATATACAGTATACGTTCAATCCCCCATCCACAACGTGACCCTAAATATCTGGAGGTGTTGTACCTGGTTAACATCACACATCACAGTTCTGTATAGGCCATTCCCCTTCCCCAAATATACCAGTACTGTACTCTCTGTACCATATATACAAGCACACTGTTACTATCGGGATGTTCATCCACGGCTTACCCCCGTCCTACCATTTTTTTAGTCTTTCTCATTTCTTTCTGACATCTATGCCTGAAATTTACAACCTCTTTGCCTACCATTCATTTCCCAATCTCTTAACAATGCACTATAAACCTAAGCAATAGCCTAGGACTTGCATACATCATTAAAAATTTCCTTTAAATTTTTTTTGGAGGGTGAAAAAACACTCCACAGACAATATACAGTACTGTACTACTGTACATAAATAACTCATTTACCTTCGTCAATCAGTGCCTGCCCCAATTAGTTTTAAATGCTTCCCGTAGACGTGTACAATTGCCTCCATTTATAACAATTACTGGGGCACCACCAGACACCAGATAGGAGCCAATGACATTCTACTTGGTAATCTAAATTAACACCATGACCATGCAGGAAATGGGCACATTCACAGATTAGAGGGAGGACTGATTATTTAGTATCCTTGGTCTGGTTACTATAGCGAGGGTAGTTTTACTACGCCGTAACAATCAGTGGTGCCACATGTCATAAAACATGCCAGCCACTGCACCCATTAAAAATGGAGGCTACTGTACTGTAATAAACTGGGTTTTTTTCCATAAATGTCTGAAAATGTGATATTACTGTATTAGTATTGTGGTCAAGCAATTAAGGGGACGCATCAATATGGATGTTGAAATGTAGGTCACATGATGAGTGGAGGTGGGTATTGGTCATGGCTTGAGTTTGGTGATGACAAACACAAACGCAGACAAGAAAATGGTTTCTGTCTAATCCACAATTCCATTAATAGCAATCGAGACAACTCATTCAATGAGCATTATACTTGAGAAGACGGAGAGCTATCAAGATAGCTAAACTCTACACAGCCAGTACCATCATGAATAAAATGTATGTACCAACGCCTTGTTTAGTGCGAAGGACACTTTCTTGGGGGAAGTAAGAGCTAATTGAAATGCATGAAAAGGGCCATTTTACCACCTTAAGTAGGAGATGCTTTCCCAATTGCACTATTTCTTATACATATGCAATATGGGGTTATCAGTCACTAAAGTATTCACAAATACTAATGGTCAACACAGCCAGGTGTAATATCAACCGACAGTCAACCCTGACTTACCTGAACACTTGTATTTACATCACATCACCAAGTTAATGCTTTTCCTTAACAGTGTTGTCATATTTCCAGCACTAACACTAGCAGGCTCTTTTACCAAGATTTTGGGTCTAAACCACTGCCATAAATACAAATATGAGGTAGAGTTCAAAACTAAAGGCAAGCACCAATTGACTCGCCCTGTGCTTATCTTGCTCTCACTGGAGAGAGACATTCCTTTAGCGAGTGCTGCATGTTCTCACGTGTAACCCTTGGGGGGCCTTATGAATTCTAGCCTTTGTCCTTTTATAAGTACAGTACTCTCTTCAGGACAACACACTCAATAATGAGTCAATGCTCCACAGGGTAGCTTTAAGTCAGGTTGAGTCAACGCTCCACGGGGTAGCCTTAAGTCAGGTACAAGTGTACACATATAAAGTACAGTATACAGTAATGCAAAGTAACTGTACATACTACCCATGTTTAGTCAAATTCAATATGTTTTATTAAAATATTGGCATATTGATGATCAACCTTATTATTACAGAGAATGAAGAGACTCCTCACAAATGTCAATGACAAAACACATGCTCTAATGTCACAAGACTTTGCTGTAGTTCCAATCTGCTTTATACTAATGATCTTCCCAATTTTAAACATTATGTAAAACTAACAAAGCTACAGCAAAAACAAAGAATTTTTTTACTGTATTAGCTCCTTTTGTAGTTCTGCAGACATCAAGCAATATTTTATTTACCTACATGCATTTTGTAGCATATAATACTGAACTTACAACAGTGGACGTCACTTTTGACATTTTATTTGGGCAATGCCAGACAATTTTATTCAGCACAGCAAGACCCCCCAGTACACAAGGGGGTTAATAAACTATCTCCCCTAACTACTGTATGCCACTTTTAATATTTTATTAGTTGACACAATACAATTTTATTCGGCAGAGAAACCCCTAGTAGTCATGGTACAGTACTTCATTTTTAACACAAGCCCACAGAAAATAGTCAAGAGTGACTAAAATTAGAAGAACAGTCAAGGAATGCCACCCCCCCCCATGCATAAACCAAACAATAAGGCAACCGCTCATTCAGAAACTGTTAACTATCAATATAAAAAATATTCTAGCCCCCTTCAGGGAAGGCCCATTAAAAACAAAACTTGCTCTCAACCTAAAAACTTGACTTTCAAACATTTCCCCTTGAAGTTAGTGCCAAAAAAAACAAATGGTGAACATTCTACAGTACCAATATACGTACTCAAAGAACATAAAAAAATAAACAAGCCCATTCAAAGTAGAGGGAACAAAGGACACCACAGCAACTTTGTATGGACATACAACTTTATCACATGACACAGGGCCCTGACCTCTGCAAACAAGATCTAAAACTAGAACCCAGAAGGATAACCTCTGGTAAAGTATACAGCATACCCTATATGGGAAAAAGGCTCATGAGTTTTGCTACCCAGCAAGTACAATCTTTGCTCCATTCATGTGTTTGGTGACATTAGCTGAAAAAAATTGGAAGGAAGAGATGCAGAATTGCTTGAACCCAAATTATTAACCATATGTCTCATACTGAGCAGCTGTGTGTACTGTACTATAGCACACAGCAAGAAAGAGGTACTGTATACAATAAAAAAAATTATCTTTACTAAAGTTTTGTTAGACAATATGACACAAACACAAAGGATTTTGACAACCTTTCTGAGAAAACAAGCTGCAATGTTCTTTTTGATATTCATCAGACCCATCCAGAAAGATCCTTTTTTGATTGTGTGTACAAATAGGTTTGCATCTCCAACTGATCTTGAGTGAGAATAAGCAATTAACCTTAAGCTCCTCATACCCATGCAATTCTGAGGTGTTGGCCTAATAATAATCAATAAATGCCATCAAAACTACAAGACTCAAGTTCAGTATATTAGTCCAACAAACACTCAACTGCATGGTCTGACTATTACCCCTCTGTTGAATGTTGCAACATTAACTACCCAGTGTGCATGATTGAGCACCAACTCCCCCATCCAGAAAATTCAAATTGAGAAAAATCTTCAGATTTAGAAGTACAGTGGTACTATGGAAAATGATTCAGGCTCTGTTGTACCAATTTAGATCTCACCACACCCAGCCAGGAACCACTAAATTTATGGCATCCCATCATTTCCTCAGTTTCAATGTCCCTTGAGGAACACATATACAAAGGAAGAGATAAAACATTCAAAGCATGTAACTCATCTACCAATTGACTCCACCCATGGAATGGGTCAAGTAAATTTTTGGATATGGAATTGTCTCACAATGCAAATCCATCATTCCAAGATGAAAAGAATTGAAGACAAATAAGAAAAATTTATTGAGTCAAAGCAATTTGCAGATGATTAATCTACTCCTTAAGCACCCAGCAACAAGCATGGAAGATATTCAGAGGACTCCTGAGGTACCTGTTTATCATCACCGTAATAGAGAAACCGGAGGACACTCTATCCCATTCCAGCTGATAAGTAAAATAATAAACTTAGAAAGGACAAAAAAAAAAACCCATACTCTTCAACAAAGGGATGGAAGCTTGTGCCTGAATGAACTTCTTCTAGAGACACCAAGACAAAGGCCTCACTCACCATTCCATGTTCTTAGTTCCACACCATAGCTACTATTCACTCCACACAACTTCCCACGTGTTGGTCAACGATGGTGGGTGTGGGGACGTAATGGTCCTCGGGTCGATCAAATTCAGGGATAAAAAATATTATCGTAATGGTCTCCCTCGTGGTGGCCATCCTGCTCCGTGGGGGTCATCACACCTTTTCACCTCTCCATCTTTCTTTTAAGGTAGACCAGTAATCCGTGACTACCCCAGGGAGTACTGACACTGCTTACCAGTTAATGGGAGGAGTGGCCAACTGTAAAACTTGCTTCAAATTTGCCCGACGTCACTTGGAACATTATGCCATAAGGTAATCGTGGCTAACCCACTCATGCATGACAAAATGTTGTAAAATTATGATTATGATATAGGGAGAGATCTTTCTCCAGATGGAAGAGAACAGATCACCCTAAGATAAATAATGTCAGCTAAGACACAAGTATATACCCATTGGATCGCAACTCAATCCTATTACTGAACGTGTACATTTGTCAGGCATTGCAGCTAACCCATGCAAGGGAAAACAGCCAAATACAATGAGGAAGCACTCACTCACGGCAGGTGGCAAAGAACCACACACCCAATACATATGGTTGTAACAGAACAATCTGAGAGTCCAAGTTTGTAATGTTCCCATGACCAATACCTGTAGTTTACATCTCCACACTCTAAGAGATCCATAAGCTCTTGCTTACAGTATTGTGACTAGTTGTACATTAGTTTGATTACAGTTGCTTCCCATTATTCATCATTTACATCCTAAGATAGAGGGAAAAATACAGAAACAAATAATTGCAAAATTTTTCCACTTAAGGATGAATGGGATAAGGGGTACTATGTTCCTATTCATCAATGTCATCCTTAGAGAAAAAAATGGGGGATTTTGTTCCTTTTATATGAATACAGAGACTCTTAGTGTTTCCCTTATATAAACTCAGTATGGCTGTATTCTGTGTATAACATGAACAAAACACTGGTTACTAACATATAGTAGTGGTTTATATTGAGAACAGTAATCATTATATATATATATATATATATATAGAGGAAATATTTGTGAACACCACAGTAAGTAGGCCAAAGGACTAAGGTTGAGAAGTAACTTAACCCTTTTTGTACCTAGTTTCTTTCTTCTCAATGAACTTAACAATTTATAAACCTATATTAAATATGACTCAAGTTTATGCAGTATATACTTACTTTTCCCCGAACTTCACTTAGAATATGGAAAAAAGTGGACTTGTGGTTGTTCCACTTTAATGAGAGAAGTCCGTCCTCCATCTTGCTCCAGGCTCTGAAAATAATAATAAACAAATATAAGAACTCGACTAAATATATTTTAATCTTTAATGTGCTGGATGGCGCTTATCTGCATGCTTGAAATAACTAATGTGATTTTCTGAAAAGGAAGGAAATCTCATTAATTATATTTTTCATGGAATCCACGTGTAGGTAGCTTAAATATGTGCTTATTAAAACATGTCCAGAAGTCCAAACTGTAGTAACCAAGAGGAACCCAAATACATAAATGAGATGTACTACTGTGCTTTCAATACAGTACATTAATCATCCCTCATCAACCAAGAGTTTTGAGTAGCTACAGTATCTGGGCTTAATAAAAAGTATTCTTTAAATACCAACCATGGTATCCAGTTTCAAGTGTGTGTGAAAAATAGATGAATAATACTGTTTTCTACACATTAACATTTGTACTTAGTTCAATGCCCCCCCCCCCAAAAAAATTTCCTCGCATCATCCCTGTTTTACCGCCATTTTCCTCTCGCCTGAGTTCGTTGTTATTACATGAGGAATTTCGAGTTTGTTAATTTTATAGAATGAAATAGAATGAAACCTTTCTGTAAATACTGTAGTACACTTATAAGGTCGCTAAATAACACTCTCTACAAAATTTTTACCAAATTTTTTTTTTTTGCAAATATAATCCAATTTAGTAATACAGTATCTGTATACTTGATGACGAATGTCCAGCTGTAGCACCAACTTGTAGATATTTCCCCGCAGAAGATAAAACGGTATTAGTTAAGTTTCGGACCATAATTAGCTACAATTATTTTTTTTTTTTTAGGTCTAACCCATCAAATTAGATGATATTTCTTTATTTTTTTTTTAGGTCTAACCCATCAAATTAGATGATATTTCTTCTATGACATTTCCGTCGCAAATGAATAATAACAGCGATTTGGGGGTGTTTACCATAAAAATTTAAATTAGTTTTTATCTTACCTCTGTACATGGATCGCTCTTCGTCTACGTTACCGTGTGTCAATCATTACGTCACGGCTTAAGTGTTAGGTTAGGTTAGCTCTCAAAATCATTCTGAAGATGAAGCCTGAGTTTTTCCGACGGCTTTTGAGGTGTTTTATTCGATTTTGATAGATTTTTGACGGAAATCACTCGTTTTGGTTGTGTGTGTGTGGGGGGGGATACCTAAAAAAAAGTGATTTCTGACGAAAACCATTATCAAAATCGAATAAAACACATCAAAAACCACCGGAAATACCTAAGCTTCATCAGCAGAAGGATTATGGCCCGAAACTTAACCTTTACCGATAAAACATTTCTCCTCTTGATAAAATGACAAAGAGCTTAAGAAAAGCATTTTGCATAATATAACTTTTATGTCCTAAGGGTGACCTTGCCACACATATTGCTTGACTAGGAATAATTATTTTTACAGCTTTCTTTTTTAATTCTTTCATAAAAAAATTATATATATTTTAGGTTCGGCAATATTAGGGATAGTGTCCTCATTTAATGAACGATATAATGCAAGATGTAAAAAAAAAGTTACTTTAGAACAATAAAATAGTAAATAACTATTTCAGATTAGGTTGGTTAGTTTTCTCAATTTTATTTATTATCAAATGTAGTTGCTGTATATCTTAAATAAAAAATCTAGGAAAAGAACCAACCCTCGAACTCAGAGGTAAACATGGCAGACAGAGATAGATCCTCCGAAGAAAAAATAAATAAAAATAATAAAGTTACATGAAACAAACTCCACCTGCATTTCTTTTGTCAATTTCCTATAGAAAGCTTTTATCTTCTATAGAAAATATCCTCCAGTTGGTGCTAGGGCCAGACCACGCCCAATACTTAAATGCAACAACCACAAGCAAACATGGATTCATCAGATGTGAATTCACAAGTGGCAAATATGCTACAGGCTCCATGCCTTTGGGTGCTCATGCCTGCTGGGATCATTTAAAGATGATGGCAACCCTGCTTTGATTAGACAAGTAAGCCTTGTTCATTTTATATATATATATATATATATATATATATATATATATATATATATATATATATATATATATATATATATATATATATATATATATATATATATATATATCACACCCTGGTACAGTAACGTAGCCTTCTGCGGTATTCGCAAAGTGTCCAGTCTCGCCAAATGTGAACAAAGGCGGTCCGACTAATTACCCAAATGTAGTCGCAATGAAGTCAAATAATGGTCCTACATGAATAAATCGGGCTGTGAATCACTTCTCGATTATTATTTGGTGTCATAAATTCACAAAAAATTGGTAAACTTAATTTAATCTGAGTTGTGTTAGGTTAGGTACATGCACTTGATCTATTAACTCATTAAATTAAGTCTACCAATTTTTTGTGACTTCGTGACACCAAATACCAGTCGAGAAGTGATTCACAGTCCGATTTATTCATGTAGGACCATTATTTGACTTCATTGCGACTACATTTGGGTAATTAGTCAGACCCTAACAAAGGCGCTTGTGACTTTTTTTTACACCCATTAAATACAGAGTTCATAAATGTTATGTTGGTTTAGTAAATTATTACATAAAGCCCACAGAGTTGACCTAAACATTTACCATTGTTTATCGTCTCCTATACCATATGAAGTGTCCACCAAAAACATAATACTATCCTGTATGAATGTGGCCACCAACTTAATAAAAAAAAAAAGCTACTGTTGAGTTTGGTCTATAGTAACCAAGCAGAACGCTTCCTAGCAACATTATCTCTAGGGTAAAGTTCCATTCAACTTATTAATACTTACCACATATAGGTACTCTTAATAATTAGACACAAAATAAGTACAGTTCTTAATAACTACAATACCTTCAGTTAGCATCTCTCGTCGTCGACTACTTATGATCAAACCTTACCCAAGACATTGTTCCTCACTAACCTGTATTTTAAAACAAACACAATCAATTTACAAAAAAAAACAACAACCACATGATGAAGAATACCTGTGGCCATCCCCTGATAAGGCTGGGGAGACGCCGGCTCACCAGGGACAGCCAGGGACAGCAAGACACACAAAAGCTTGGTGGGTCCCTCTATCCGGCAAGTGACGCCATGAAAACAAAGCCCCACCTTAGCGTCGCGCGGGCTGACCAAACAACCACTCCTAACACCTCACTTTCTATAGTCTCGTCCGATTATTACACCTAAAATTGATCTGTGGTACTTAAACACTATGTGCATGTATTATCAATAGAGGAGGACACTTACCGGAGGAGAAATCACCGCGAAACAGCGAGGGTCTGCAGCGTCTTCTTTCACGTCGCCATCTTGGTCGCGCATGCGCATGAAGGCACCCACGCTTGCTGATCTCCCAACACAATTTAGAAATGGAAATAATCATTCAATATAATCAAAATAAAAGGATTATACGTAACATCAATAACATATTTTTAAATTCTATTATATAATGTTTAGTTTAAAAATGTAATTATAATTTATTCTTGAAGTATTAGAAGCAGCTTATCACTCACTCTCCACTACTGGGATCAATGGACCAACACAGCAACTGCAAATATTTTTGTAATTCTATGGAAATGAATTGTGTGATGTATTCTCAGGGTACACACGGGGGGTTGGGGTTGATTTGTGGCCCCTCCTATACTGCACCGCTTGCACACTACTATTTTTTGCTCTTAAACATGCATCTTATCCTTGTTTCAGTTGTATAATTGGCAAAAAATGGATGAATCCCTCCACTTTAGTCTGTAACGCATGCGTCAAATAAGACGCACACCGGAAAATAATTTTAAATACTATAGTTCACATAAATCGGTCGTAGGTACACTGTATTTCACATACTTGGTGTGCCCGAACTGATATACGTATAAATAAATATAATTTGTGGGCCATCAGTGAGGAAAAGGATAACGTAAAATAACCACCTGCCAACGTCCTGCAAATGCGTTAGGTGCCGTGCAAGAGAAGAAAATATAAAAATGTCTTATCATTACTTTACTAAAAATTGATTACAATGTACAACTTTACAAATAAAAAAATGAAAGAAAAGCCGATTTAGATATGTATTGAACAACCATCAAATTTAATATTGTACAACTATTATATAACTAAGGATGCGGTTTTCCCAAGCATACCACTTGTTGTATTTATTCCTTGTAGAACCCTGGGTCTTCATTCTCAAATGTTCGTGCACTGAGTATTCCTTAGTACTCTTAACTGAAGATGCATAAATGCACCTCATTAGTTAACCTCAGTATTAATACAAAAACAGCGTCCAAAAATAAAACAGTTACACTACGACGGCTGTATACTGTACCAGATACTTTTTGCTCAAGGTAAAAAAATACATATATTTTCCAGAGATTTTCTTCCCTAATTTTGTTTAGTGTCATGTGAAAATATATATTGAATGTATTGTATTTCCGATACCATTTTTAGACGTTAATATTATATTTTGACAAGACAATTAGTACTGCGCATTCTTGCATCTTTACTTACGAGGAATATCCGTTATCCGAACCTTTGTGAATCAGCCAGGTACAGCCTCTCCCGCCCTTCCCCTGCCCGTACGGAGACTGAAGTGGAAGAACTCTCAAGCAGTCCTTTGTCACACAAACCTCGTGTATTCCTGGCCAGTGTAACAGGCTATACAACATCGTAAAAAGATATGGGTGCGCGAATAACTTATAAACATAAATTGACAAAGGCCAGATTAAATATTAAACCTCTACTTATAATATATATCAAGTTACAGCTCCAACACTCGTATTGTAACCTACCTCTCAAACTGGAAGCCTCACAAGGGTGACAACCCGCAGTGAGCTTCAAAATCAGCTATTTACCAGTCTATTTAACCTTTCAACGTGGAATTTTTAGATCAATTGAATATTAGTTCCAGCTTATTTTATTCGAAGATTAATTAATCATCCTAACCTTATGGGGGGGGGGGGTACGTTAGGGTTGCTAATCTTAAGGTGAAAGTAGATGACGATTATTAAGATGATACAATCTTAAAATTAATTATGCATGTTTACAGAGCCAAAAAATGGTCGAGTAAACACCGAAATCAAATTACCTTAATGAATTATGAAATAAATTGAATCACATGAACACCGAATGATGTGAAGAAAAAAATGTGTACAGGGGTGATTAATTAGTAATACCTATCATCAGGCGATCCCTCGAAACACCTGTAAAATAGCATCATCATAGTAAGGTGTATTTGTGCCCGCTTTCAATCTATTTGTATTTATTTATTTATTTATTTACAGCATTTATTTATTTATTTTACGGGGATTAGCCCACCCGGGCACAGGTCACCGACCCACACCTGGGCCTAGGGGGCGAAAATGTAATTATAATAATAACAATAATAATAATAAAAATAATAATAATAATAATAATAATAATAATAATAATAATAATAATAATAATAATAATAATAAAAATAATAATAATAATAATAATAATAATAATAATAATAATAATATAATAATAATAATAATAATAATAATAATAATAATAATAATAATAATAATAATAATAATAATAATAATAATAATAATAATAATTCAGATGAGTAAAATTTATAATAAAATTAAAAAAATAAAAATAATATAATAATAATAATAATAATAATAATAATAATAATAATAATAATAATAATAATAAAGAAATACAAAAATGAAAAAAAGATCAAAAGTGAGAAACAACATTATGTATGTTGTGTTGTCAATAGTAAGAGAAACAATTGAGACCCTGCCAATGTGTGTAAATGAGGCAGAAAGTCAGATCAGCAACCTGGGACTTGGTCACAATTTTTGTGATGCCATACGGCAGCAGGGTCTACCATTATGCTTCCAATATTTGCTGTAAATATGACCAAACAGCTCAAGAGTTTATGGCGGTGTTTGACCTTTGACCAAATATAATCCCCAATAAAGAAAAAAATATAAAACAAAGCACCAAGATACAGGCGTGGCGAGTTCCAAGGCCATTGATTCGCGTAATTATTAACCCCTTAGCTTATTTCACCTAATGAGTAGACACCCTAACATAACCTAAGCCCCTCGGTAGCGTTAGGGTGTTTAATCATCAGGTGAAATAAGTTGACGGTGGGTAATTTTTCAGGTGATCTATTTGATTGATGACAAGACGAACGAAAGGAAAAGAAACAAAACATAAATTAAGAAAATACAGAAAAATGGGATCACTTGAGGATTAGCCCCAACTTAATTTACCTGAGACTATAGTTTCAGAATCCTTCCTTTAATACTTTAATTTGCTTAGTTCCAAATTGTCGTTATAATGAGACCCACTCTGCTTCCTCGCCTCTTGTGGCAACGTCGTCGTGACTAAAAGGCTTAAGAATAATAAATTAAACTGAGCTCAGAATATTAATTGGTAATAAACTCGTGAGCAAGAGAAGGAGCTGAGTACGTCCGCCAGTCGTGACTCCAACTGTACCTAGCGGTGAAAGTTTGAGGTATTAAGCTATGGGGACAGTTTATTTTTTTCTTAAATCGTGGTCATTAAAAAACCACATTACGACGAAGCTATTCGAACCATTCATCGCTGTACACGATAACTGCTTAACTTAGCTACATCCTTTTAGTAAGATAAGCAACAAGCTGAATATTGCGTCCTAACCTCTTCACTAATGGATGTTACTTTTAATATTTCATTTGACGAAAACCAGACGAATTTATTCAACAAAGAGCGACCCAACGTACCAACAGGGTAAACTATAATAATAATAATAATAATAATAATAATAATAATAATAATAATAATAATAATAATAATAATAATAACGTACGATTATTAAGTTTACGATGTGTAGAGATGAAGAACCTTTTACTGACAAACATCTAACTATACAAAGCTGACAGAAATAACAACGAAAATGAACGAATAATCCAGGGTAACCTAAAACTAATATTATATATCACGAATACGATATTTACGACCGGTGCCTACGGTAGCCTCCCTGCTGTGGTGTATGATGATCAATGTCAACATATTCAAGAGGTTATTAACCTTTTAAAGAGTAACAGTGAAATAAGTGAATGTGCGTCTCGTCACCTGTCCTCGGGCGCCACAGCTTCACCCTTCCCCCCAACAAGACAGTCATGCACAGACTTTCCTTTTTAGGGTCGCTCAGAACTCTTCCCGGGTGAAAGTTTGGGTCCCCCTCCAATTATTGTTCACGGGAGATACCCTTCACTCTCGCCGGTGAAAGCTTCCTTAGATGTCAAGAAAATAATGTATATAAAGATGTGGAGAAACTATTTATACGAGCTGGAATATTGATGGTGGGTAGAAACGTATTTGTCTGGATGTCTCATGAAGAAACGATAATAATGTTGTTTGTATACCATAATAGATCAAGTAAATACGATAATGGTTCATATTCAATTAAGATAGAATACGAAAATATTTATCAGGCATTTTTTCTAGAATTATATGAGGCCATATAGATACGTTATCATACCTCTCCGGTGTCGATAAACAATAAGGTCATCCAAGCGTTTATACATTTTTTTTCACCTTACCTTAACAAACACGTGCTGAAGATTATGAAGCCTTAACACTCCGTTTCATCTGCGGACAAATTCTGACCATGAATCTAAAAAAAAAAAATCCGTACCTTACACAGAGACGTAACAGACGATGCTAAGAGAAGTATTTTATTGTGTTTACGGGTTTACATATAAGAGAAGTAGACTTAAAGATACTAAATTTTACGAACCCTTGTTTAAATCTGCAAAAGTATTGATTAAATAGATAATAAGATAGATATTCATTCAAATTTTCTCTCATTCACATTATTTCAGTATATAGTCAGCGTAAGTATAAAACAATGCGTAGTCAATCCTCCCTAAATATAAATATCAATACCACACATTATCATCACACATCACCACCATCACCACCACCACCACCATACATCACCACCAACACCATACAACACGCACTACCACGCATCACCACCACCACCACCACACTCCACACGCCACCACCACACACACCATACATCACCACCACAACCACCACCACGCACCACCACCATACGTCACCGCCATCACGCATCACCACACCACCACTTCGACAGCAGGAAGAGGCCACAGTTGTTTACAAGGAAGAGAAACTGACCGCAGGTGGCGAAGTGGACTTGTGGCATTAGTGGTTAAAGGAAAGGGAAGGAGGGAGAGAGGGAAGGAGTGAAGAGGAGGAGGGAGAAATGGAAGGAGTTGGTTTTTGGGGAAGGAAAGAAGGAAGGAAGGAAGGAAGGAGTGAAGGAGGGAGAGAGTGAAGTAGGGAAGGAGGAAGGGAGGGAGGTAGGGGGCGGGAGAGGG